GGTCCACCTCACCGTAGTTTGCCTAGCCCAGGAGGGCGTACAGAGCCTGCACTCCTTCAATCTGCCACACTTTTGGATAGTAAAAAGGTCTCTTATACAGCATTCCTGTTGCTGTTCCAAAAACTTGTAAATAACTGACAGGTTGTTTTCCCAGCTAAAACACGCTGACTCCATCTATTCCAGACAGATTGTGGCTTTTCTTCCTTGGTTTTCCTCCTTAACATAAGTAGCACTGTTTGACCTTGGTAACGTAAAGAATCATTGTCTTGGACTATGTAAACATGTTGTTTTCAACCACAGAGTTAATCATCATCTCTGGTCATCAATTTCAGCAGTTTAGTAGTTTTTTCCTTCCATCACCCTTTTGCAGTTTTCCAGGCTTCATTCTTCTTAGAATGGTGTCTTCGGTCATACACCTTTCATACTATTTCATTTAATCCAGACATCACATATTGTCACATGGAGGCAGCCATAATAAGGCTGGTGTGGCCCTTCATGAAAATGGGTTTAAAAAGCCCTGCAAGTCCCATTGTTCCCAGGCTGTGTTGAGCAAAGCAGTACAGATGTGAAGGGATGTGCCTAGCAAGGAGAGTGAACAGAGGAGAGCCGTACCTTATGTCCTGGGTTGTAATCACACAGCTCTCTAGATGTGGTTGGACTCTAACTCCCATCACTCCCTATCAGTCACATACAAACAACACCACCAGTATTTAAAGTGGGTTCATGATGGGTATATGTCCCAAGTTGATTCGGATCCATCGTGGGTGGGATTCACACAGCTCTCCAGATGTGGATAGACTACAACTCCCATAATCCCCTATCAACCCTCTTCCAATTCTAGCAATATATCAAGTTGGGTCATCATGGGGATGTGTCCCTAGTTTGATCTAATTCCATCAAACCATTTACTTACTTACTTAGGTGATCCCTCGTAGTCCAAGGATGATGGTCTTCCAAGGTCAGTGTTCTGTTGGTGGGTCTGAAGGTGGCTGTGGAGCCCTATTCTCGATCTGCATCTTCTCCCACAGTGAGGGCATTGGTTTCCAGGTGGAAGGTGGTCCTGGTCGGGGTTGGCTTGACGCGCCTTCCTCTTGGCACGTTTCTCTCTTTCGCCCTCCATTCGTGCCTCTTCGAATTCTGCAGCACTGCTGGTCACAGTTGAACTCCAACTGGAGGGCTCAAGGGCCAGGGCTTACCAGTTCTCAGTGTCTATGCCAGAGTTGTTAAGGTTGGCTTTGAGGCCATCTTAACATCTCTTTTCCTGCCCTCCAACATTCCGTTTTCTGTTTTGGAGTTCGGAGTAGAGCAACTGCTTTGGGAGACGGTGGTCAGGCATCCAGACAACGTGGCCGGTCCAGTGGAGCTGATGGCGGAGGACCATCGCTTCAATGCTGGTGGTCTTCACTTCTTCCAGCACGCTGACATTTGTCTGCTTGTCTTCTTAAGAGATTTGCAGGATTTTTTGGAGGCAGCGCTGATGGAATCATTCCAGGAGTTGCATGTGACATCTGTAGACAGTCCACGTCTCATATAGTAGGGTTGGGAGGACAATAGCTTTCTATACAAGCCCCTTGGTCTCCCTACGGATGTCCCGGTCCTCAAACTCACCTTCATTCGGAAGGATGCTGTTGTATTTCAGCGTCAATGTTGAATTTGATGGAGAGGTGCCTGCCAAGGGAGTGGAAAGGGTCAACATTGATCTCACCCTGAGTTTTTAAATCATTTTATGTACATGCGGCCCACTCACTGTCATCATGTTTGGTTTACTGGGTTTTTTTTACATGTCCTGTGTAGCTTATATGTTTTATACTTTACTGCGATGTTGTTTATTTTATTGTAATTTGTATTTTTATTTTATTGTAATTTGTTGTTTGGGCTTGGCCTCATGCGGGCCGCCCCGAGTCCCGTCGGGGGAGATGGTGGCGGGGTACAAATAAAGTTTATTATTATTATTATTATTATTACTATTGTACCTTAAGAGGCAAGATCTCTATGCCAATAATGGCTTGTAGGGCTTCCAAATGGGGGGAGATCTAGAAAACGGGCCTTTTTCCGACCCTGAAACTTTCCTTGTACATGTTGTTGAAGGCTTTCATGGCCGGAATCACTGGGTTGTTGTAGGATTTTTCGGGCTATATGGCCATGTTCTAGAGGCATTCTCTCCTGACGTTTCGCCTGCATCTATGGCAAGCATCCTCAGAGGAAGTGAGGTCTGTTGGAACTAAGAAAAAGGGTTTATATATCTGTGGAATGACCAGGGTGGGACAAAGGACTCTTGTCTGCTGGAGCTAGGGGTGAATGTTTCAACTTTTTTTTATTATACCCCCCCCTCTCGGGAACAAATAAGTACTTTAGCTGTGTTTATTACAATTGTTCAATCATGACAATAGATTTATTCAACACCGTATATTTATCTTTCCCCTTTATTCTATATATGAGACCCTTCCATTTTGCTTTCAGTGTCCTTTTGCTTTGACCCGTCATATAGTAACTTTTCCTTTCGCTAATATAATCTTGAAGAAGGTAATCCGCTAAATATTTATACCAGGTTTTTGTATCCCATTTCTTGTGGTCTTTCCAGCCCAGGGCCACTGAGGCTTTAATTGCCTCTATCATTTGTTGTTCATTCGTTCAGTCGTCTCCGACTCTTCGTGACCTCATGGACCAGCCCACGCCAGAGCTCCCTGTCGGCCGTCACCACCCCCAGCTCCTTCAAGGTCAGTCCAGTTCCTTCAAGGATGCCATCCATCCATCTTGCCCTTGGTCGGCCCCTCTTCCTTTTGCCTTCCACTTTCCCCAGCAATTGTCTTCTCTAGGCTTTCCTGTCTCCTCATGATGTGGCCAAAGTACTTCAACTTTGTCTCTAGTATCTTTCCCTCCAATGAGCAGTCGGGCTTTATTTCCTGGAGGATGGACTGGTTGGGTCTTCTCGCAGTCCAAGGCACTCTCAGAACTTTCCTCCAACACCACAGTTCAAAAGCATCTATCTTCCTTCGCTCAGCCTTCCCTAAGGTCCAGCTCTCACATCCGTAAGTGACTACAGGGAATACCATGGCTTTGACTAGGCGGATCTTTGTTGCCAGTCTGATGTCTCTACTCTTCACTATTTTATCGAGACTGGACATTGCTCTCCTCCTCTATCATATGTTTTATTATTTCCTCACTTTCCTTTCAAATTTCTGAGTGAAAAATTGGGCCTTATTCCATTCTACCTCCTCCATTTCCTTCCTGATTATTTCTTGGAACTTTTGGATTTTTCCCCATTCCCACCACATGTGGGCATATGTTCCTATTTTACCACAGTTGTTTATATATCTGTGGAATATATCTGTGGAAAGACCATGGTGGGACAAAGGACTCTTGTCTGCTGGAGCCAGGTGTGAATGTTTCAACTGACCACCTTGATTAGCATTTGATAGCCTGGAAGTGCCTGGAGCAAACTTTTGTTGAGAGGTGATTAGATTTGCCTGATTGTTTCCTCTCTGTTGTTGTGCTGTTGTAATTTTAGAGTTTTTTAAAATCCTGGTAGCCAGATTTTTTTTCATTTTCATGGTTTCCTCCTTTCTGTTGAGATTGTCCACATGCTTCTTGTGGATTTGAATGGCTTCTCTGTGTAGTCTGACATGGTGGTTGCATGTATCCCTGTATGCTCCACGAATAGTAACTTATACTGGAGGAGACTTGGTTTTAAAAAGGGAATTTTCAGATATTTCCCCAATGCCCATATGCCATGATTTACTGCCATATTGGCCTAATTCTGTAGTAGGCCAATGTTCATAGAAAATGCTGATTGTTTGAGAAATCAGTGCTCCAAAGAAGAAGTTACTATTCAAGGATAGCAGTATATTCGGACAAAACCAGCTATCTCTTGGCTAGTTAGAACCCTCCAGTTTCCCAGTCGCTCTGAAGCCATGTTTGCAAAAGAGTAACAGATAAGATACAGTCATGGTCAGAGAACAATGGACTGTTGTTGTTCATTCGTTCAGTCGTCTCCGACTCTTCGTGACCTCATGGACCAGCCCACGCCAGAGCTCCTTGTCGGCCGTCACCACCCCCAGCTCCTTCAAGGTCAGTCCAGTCACTTCAAGGATGCCATCCATCCATCTTGCCCTTGGTCGGCCCCTCTTCCTTTTCCTTCCACTTTCCCCAGCATCATTCCCTTCTCCAGGCTTTGCTGTCTCCTCATGATGTGGCCAAAGGACTTCAACTTTGTCTCTAGTCTCCTTCCCTCCAATGAGCAGTCGGGCTTTCTTTCCTGGAGGATGGACTGGTTGGATCTTCTCGCAGTCCAAGGCACTCTCAGCACTTTCCTCCAACACCACAGCTCAAAAGCATCTCTCTTCCTTCGCTCAGCCTTCCCTAAGGTCCAGCTCTCACATCCGTAGGTGACTACAGGGAATACCATGGCTTTGACTATGCAATGGATCTTTGTTGCCAGTCTGATGTCTCTACTCTTTACTATTTTATCGAGATTGGACATTGCTCTCCTCCCAAGAAGTAAGCGTCTTCTGATTTCCTGGCCACAGTCTGCATCTGCAGTCATCTTTGCACCTAGAAAGTATATGTCACAGCCTCCACATTTTCTCCCTCTATTTCCAGTTGTCAATCATTCTTGTTGCCATAATCTTGGTTTTTTTGACGTTTAGCTGCAACCCGGCTTTTGCGCTTTCTTCTTTCACCTTGATGAGAAGGCTCCTCAGCTCCTCCTCGCTTTCGGCCATCAGAGTGGTGTCATCTGCGTATCTCGGGTTGTTCATGTTTCTTCCAGCCATTTTCACCCCAGCCCTTGCATTCCTCAAAGATTCTACAAATTCCCGTATTTGCTTTTCCTGCGCGCGCTGCTCGTAGGCGAATTACGGCCCCCTGCTGGAATCTGGGCGAAACCTTCACCGCGCGCGGGCTCCCTTCGCTTCACGGCAGCCGCGGGCCAATCAAGGCCTTCCCTTCGCTTTACGGCGCCGCTTTGCGACGTTTCGCGACACCCGGAAGCACAAGGAGTCCCTCAGCCTACAACGCCGGGCTGGTTTCTTTCTCTCTCTCCTTCTATCTCTCTGTTTCGGTGCCTTTTCTCTTCAGGGAAGGAAAAGAAAGGAAAGAGGGAAGGCATGGACGTCGGGGAGCTGCTCAGCTACCAGGTGGGACCCCCATATTGGTATTGTAGGGTGGGATTATTTGGGGTTTCAGGACTTAGAATCCTAGAATCAAAGAGTTGGAAGAGACCTCCTGGGCCATCATCCAGTCCAACCCCATTCTGCCAAGAAGCAGGAATATTGCATTCAAATCACCCCTGACAGATGGCCATCCAGCCTCTGTTTAAAAGCTTCCAAAGAAGGAGCCTCCGCCACACTCTGGGGCAGAGAGTTCCACTGCTGAACGGCTCTCACAGTCAGGAAGTTCTTCCTCATGTTCAGATGGAATCTCCTCTCTTGTAGTTTGAAGAGACCTCATGGGCCATCCAGTCCAACCCCCTGCCAAGAAGCAGGAATATTGCATTCAAATCACCCCTGACAGATGGCCATCCAGCCTCTGTTTCAAAGCTTCCAAAGAAGGAGCCTCCGCCACACTCTGGGGCAGAGAGTTCCACTGCTGAACGTCTCTCACAATCAGGAAGTCCTTCCTCATGTTCAGGTGGAATCTCCTTTCTTTCATAGAATCAAAGAGTTGGAAGAGACCTCATGGGCCATCCAGTCCAACCCCCTGCCGAGAAGCAGGAATATTGCATTCAAAGCACCCCTCACAGATGGCCCTCCAGCCTCTGTTTAAAAGCTTCCAAAGAAGGAGCCTCCACCATACTCCACAAGGGGCAGAGAGTTCCGCTGCTGAACGGCTCTCACACTCATACTATCTTAGAATCCTCGTGGGCCGTCCAGTCCAACCCCCTGCCAAGAAGCAAGAAAATCACGTCAAAGCATCCCTGACAGATGGCCATCCAGCCTCTGTTTAAAAGCCTCCAAAGAAGGAGCCTCCACCACACTCCGGGGCAGAGAGTTCCACTGCTGAACAGCTCTCACAGTCATAGAATCATAGAATCAAAGAGTTGGAAGAGACCTCATGGGCCATCCAGTCCAACCCCCTGCCAAGAAGCAGGAATATTGCATTCAACACCCCTGACAGATGGCCATCCAGCCTCTGTTTAAAAGCTTCCAAAGAAGGAGCCTCCACCACACTCTGGGGCAGAGAGTTCCACTGCTGAACGGCTCTCCTTCCAGTCAGGAAGTTCTTCCTCATGTTCAGATGGACTCTCCTCTCTTGTCGTTTGAAACCATTGTTTCCTTGCGTCCTAGTCTCCATGGAAGCAGAAAACAAGCTTGCTCCCTCCTCCTCCCTGTGGCTTCCTCTCACATATTTATACATGGCTATCATGTCTCCTCTCAGCCTTCTCTTCTTCAGGCTAAACATGCCCAGCTCTTTAAGCCGCTCCTCATAGGGCTTGTTCTCCAGACCCTTGATCATTTTAGTCGCCCTCCTCTTGACACATTCCAGCTTGTCAATATCTCTCTTGAATTGTGGTGCCCAGAATTGGACACAATATTCCAGGTTTTGATTCTTTGTGTTTTCTCTCCATTGATCATCAGTTGTGCATGTTGGTCTTTGTATATAGCTTGGATGTCTGTAATCATAGAATCAAAGAGTTGGAAGAGACCTCGTGGGCCATCCAGTCCAACCCCATTCTGCCAAGAAGCAGGAATATTGCATTCAAATCACCCCTGACAGATGGCCATCCAGCCTCTGTTTAAAAGCTTCCAAAGAAGGAGCCTCCACCACACTCTGGGGCAGAGAGTTCCACTGCTGAACGGCTCTCACAGTCAGGAAGTTCTTCCTCATGTTCAGGTGGAATCTCCTCTCTTGTAGTTTGAAGCCATTGTTACGCATCCTAGTCTGCAAGGAAGCAGAAAGGAAGCTTGCTCGCTCCTCCCTGTGGCTTGCTCTCACATATTTATCCATGGCTATCCTATCTCCTCTCAGCCTTCTCTTCTTCAGGCTAAACATGCCCAGCTCCTTAAACCACTCCCCATAGGGCAGTGTTTCTCAACTTGGGGGTCGGGACCCCTGAGCGGGTCACAAAGGGGTGTCAGAGGGGTCGCCAAAGACCATCAGAAAACACAGTATTTTCTGATGTTCATGGGGATTCCATGTGGGAAGTTTGAGCCAATTCTATCGTTGTTGGAGTTCAGAATGTTCTTTGATTTTAATGAACTATAAATCCCAGCAACTACAACTCCCAAGAGTCAAGGTCTATTTTCCCCAGGCTCCACAAGTGTTCACATTTGCGCATATTGAGTATTTGTGCCAAGTTTGGCCCAGATCCACCATTGTGTGAGTCCACAGTGCTCTCTGGATATAGGTGAACTACGACTCCCAAACTCAAGGTCAATACCCACCAAACCCTTCCAGTGTTTTCCGTTGGTCATGGGAGTTCTGTGTGGCAAATTAGGTTCAAATCCATTGCTGGTGGAGTTCAGAATGCTCTTTGATTATAGGTGAACTATAAATCCCAGCAACTACAACTCCCAAATTACAAAATCAATCCTCCCCCAACCCCACTAGCATGTGGTTGCATTGGGTATTTGTGCCCAGTTTGGTCCAGTGAATGAAAATGCATCTTACATATCTGATATTTACATTATGATTTATAACAGTAGTAAAATGACTGTTATGAAGTAGCAACAAAAACAATGTTATGGTTGGGGGTCAACACAACATGAGGGACTGTATTAAGGGGTCGCGGCATTAGGAAGGTTGAGAACCAGTGATCTAGTTCATGAGCCTCTTTCTCTTTATTTTATTTCTTATTTTTACTCCTTTTGCGCTCTCTGCCATTTCTTCCCCATCACTGACTATGGCATATTTCTGTATCAGAAACTAGAGCTGATGTGGTCTATCCAATGTTATTTTCTTAATCAGCACCCCAAACCTATTCTAAAGTTGACCAAAAACTGATGCGTAGCCCTTTTGGTACTAATCTTATCATCGTAATCATTGCTTTTATTGATATTCGAAAAGCGTTTCTCCAGAAGGTGTCCTCAAGGTGTCTTAAAAATTAAAAGGAAATATGGTGTAGCCAAAAACATATGAAGGGTTAACATTAAAATATCAGCTCGAATACAACCATGACCATATTTACTCATGTTAAAGTTGGACATTTTGATAAAAATAAATCCCCAAGACCTGGGCTGACTTACCCACAGGTGAGTGTTAGAAATGCTCTGTGCTCTCTACATTTTTGGATTCTGGAGAAGGAATAGAATAGAATAATTTTACTGCTATTGTACTTTATACAATGAAATTAAATTCTTTCCCCAATATACATCACAAAACAACACACCCATCCCTCTAAACTCTCACCATCACTGCACAGCCCCTAATGCCACATCAATGCAAAGCCATGGAGTTCAATATAGTTACAGCTCTAGGATAAAAGCTGTCCCTCAGTCTGTTTGTCCTTGCCTTTGTCACCCTGTACCATCTGCCAGATGATAATAATTCAGACAAACAAACAAAAATGCCAAGTGAGATGGATCCCCAATAATTCTCTGAGTTTTCTCAAGGTTGCAAGACTTATTCTTCCAAAGAGGGGAGAAAGAGGCCAATCTATGATTCTCTGCAGAAGTGGTGACCCTTTGAAGCGTCTTCCTATCTGCCACTCTGCAGTTACCAAACTATGTGCATCTTCATTAGGTTAGGAAACTCTCTATAGTCCAGCAGTAGAAAGTCAGACTGTAGCCAGGAAATCAGAAGACGCTTCCTTCTTGGGAGGAGAGCAATGTCCAGTCTCGATAAAATAGTAAAGAGTAGAGACATCAGACTGGCAACAAAGATCCGCCTAGTCAAAGCCATGGTATTCCCTGTAGTCACCTACGGATGTGAGAGCTGGACCTTAGGGAAGGCTGAGCGAAGGAAGATCGATGCTTTTGAGCTGTGGTGTTGGAGGAAAGTTCTGAGAGTGCCTTGGACTGCGAGAAGATCCAACCAGTCCATCCTCCAGGAAATAAAGCCCGGCTGCTCATTGGAGGGAAAGATACTAGAGACAAAGTTGAAGTACTTTGGCCACATCATGAGGAGACAGGAAAGCCTAGAGAAGACAATTATGCTGGGGAAAGTGGAAGGCAAAAGGAAGAGGGGCCGACCAAGGGCAAGATGGATGGATGGCATCCTTGAAGTGACTGGACTGACCATGAGGGAGCTGGGGGTGGTAACGGCCGACAGGGAGCTCTGGCGTGGGCTGGTCCATGAGGTCACGAAGAGTCGGAGACGACTGAACGAATGAACAACAACAACAAGAAAGTCACCAGAAGTTTTTCAGTCAGTTGGCGGTTCTTCAGGAGTGTCAGATAGTACAATCTCTACTGGGCCCTCTTCACCAACGCTGCTGTCATATGAACACTGCCCAAGGTCAGATCCTCCTTAACAGCGACATCCAGGAACTTAAAATTGGCCACCTGCTCCACTTGGTCTCCATTTATGAACAAGGGCGGAATTTCTGGTCTGCTCTTTCTATAGTCCACTGTGAACTTAATGGCCTTATTGATGTTAAGAACCAGATTATTGTCCCTGCACCATGAGAGCAGTCAATCCTCCTCATCTCGATAGGCAGACTCATCCCCTTCAGAGATAAGAAGCCCCATCGACAAATTTGGTAATGATACTGCTATGGTGGACAGGAGTGCAATCATACAAAGTGTATTGCAGAGGACTCAACACACAGCCCTGTGACATCCCAGCGTTGAGGGAGTGAGCTGAAGAGGTATGATGGTTACCTAAATCTAACCATCTGGGAATGTCCACACAAGAAGTCCATAATCCAGGAACAGATTGAATATGACAATGAGTTATAAGTTAAGACACCACTCTATGTGGGAGGATTGTGTTGAACTATTTTTTTATCGTGTCAGGAGCAAACCAAACAGTTTTATTGCATTTTTAACAACCAAACAAAACACAAAGTTTGCAAGCTTGGTAGTTGATTAGATGTCTTTTGACCAGTAGCTGGCCACTTGGAGTGCCTCTGGTATTGCTGCAAGAAGGTCCTCCATGGTGCATGTGGCAGGGCTCAGGTTGCATTGCAGCAGGTGGTCTGTGGTTTGCTCTTCTCCACACTCGCATGTCGTGGATTCCACTTTGTGGCCCCATTTCT